AGCACAACAAGGAAAGAGCACAACAAGGAAAGAGCACCACAAGGAAAGAGCACAACAAGGAAAGAGCACCACAAGGAAAGAGCACCACAAGGAAAGAGCACCACAAGGAAAGAGCACCACAAGGAAAGAGCACCACAAGGAAAGAGCACCACAAGGAAAGAGCACCACAAGGAAAGAGCACCACAAGGAAAGAGCACCACAAGGAAAGAGCACCACAAGGAAAGAGCACCACAAGGAAAGAGCACCACAAGGAAAGAGCACCACAAGGAAAGAGCACCACAAGGAAAGAGCACCACAAGGAAAGAGCACCACAAGGAAAGAGCACCACAAGGAAAGAGCACCACAAGGAAAGAGCACCACAAGGAAAGAGCACCACAAGGAAAGAGCACCACAAGGAAAGAGCACCACAAGGAAAGAGCACCACAAGGAAAGAGCACCACAAGGAAAGAGCACCACAAGGAAAGAGCACCACAAGGAAAGAGCACCACAAGGAAAGAGCACCACAAGGAAAGAGCACAACAAGGAAAGAGCACCAACAAGGAAAGAGCACAACAAGGAAAGAGCACAACAAGGAAAGAGCACAACAAGGAAAGAGCACAACAAGGAAAGAGCACAACAAGGAAAGAGCACAACAAGGAAAGAGCAACACAAGGAAAGAGCACAACAAGGAAAGAGCACCACAAGGAAAGAGCACCACAAGGAAAGAGCACCACAAGGAAAGAGCACCACAAGGAAAGAGCACCACAAGGAAAGAGCACCACAAGGAAAGAGCACACAAGGAAAGAGCACCACAAGGAAAGAGCACCACAAGGAAAGAGCACCACAAGGAAAGAGCACCACAAGGAAAGAGCACCACAAGGAAAGAGCACCACAAGGAAAGAGCACCACAAGGAAAGAGCACCACAAGGAAAGAGCACCACAAGGAAAGAGCACAACAAGGAAAGAGCACCACAAGGAAAGAGCACAACAAGGAAAGAGCACAACAAGGAAAGAGCACAACAAGGAAAGAGCACAACAAGGAAAGAGCACAACAAGGAAAGAGCACAACAAGGAAAGAGCACCACAAGGAAAGAGCACAACAAGGAAAGAGCACCACAAGGAAAGAGCACCACAAGGAAAGAGCACAACAAGGAAAGAGCACAACAAGGAAAGAGCACAACAAGGAAAGAGCACAACAAGGAAAGAGCACCACAAGGAAAGAGCACAACAAGGAAAGAGCACAACAAGGAAAGAGCACAACAAGGAAAGAGCACAACAAGGAAAGAGCACAACAAGGAAAGAGCACCACAAGGAAAGAGCACAACAAGGAAAGAGCACAACAAGGAAAGAGCACAACAAGGAAAGAGCACAACAAGGAAAGAGCACCACAAGGAAAGAGCACCACAAGGAAAGAGCACCACAAGGAAAGAGCACCACAAGGAAAGAGCACCACAAGGAAAGAGCACAACAAGGAAAGAGCACAACAAGGAAAGAGCACCACAAGGAAAGAGCACCACAAGGAAAGAGCACAACAAGGAAAGAGCACAACAAGGAAAGAGCACCACAAGGAAAGAGCACAACAAGGAAAGAGCACAACAAGGAAAGAGCACAACAAGGAAAGAGCACAACAAGGAAAGAGCACAACAAGGAAAGAGCACAACAAGGAAAGAGCACAACAAGGAAAGAGCACAACAAGGAAAGAGCACAACAAGGAAAGAGCACAACAAGGAAAGAGCACCACAAGGAAAGAGCACAACAAGGAAAGAGCACAACAAGGAAAGAGCACAACAAGGAAAGAGCACAACAAGGAAAGAGCACAACAAGGAAAGAGCACAACAAGGAAAGAGCACAACAAGGAAAGAGCACAACAAGGAAAGAGCACCACAAGGAAAGAGCACAACAAGGAAAGAGCACAACAAGGAAAGAGCACAACAAGGAAAGAGCACCACAAGGAAAGAGCACAACAAGGAAAGAGCACCACAAGGAAAGAGCACAACAAGGAAAGAGCACAACAAGGAAAGAGCACAACAAGGAAAGAGCACAACAAGGAAAGAGCACCACAAGGAAAGAGCACAACAAGGAAAGAGCACCACAAGGAAAGAGCACCACAAGGAAAGAGCACCACAAGGAAAGAGCACCACAAGGAAAGAGCACCACAAGGAAAGAGCACCACAAGGAAAGAGCACCACAAGGAAAGAGCACCACAAGGAAAGAGCACAACAAGGAAAGAGCACAACAAGGAAAGAGCACAACAAGGAAAGAGCACCACAAGGAAAGAGCACCACAAGGAAAGAGCACCACAAGGAAAGAGCACAACAAGGAAAGAGCACCACAAGGAAAGAGCACCACAAGGAAAAGCACCACAAGGAAAGAGCACCACTGGGGGAAGATGACCACAAGGAAAGAGCACCACAAAGGAAAGAGCACAACAAGGAAAGAGCACCACAAGGAAAGAGCACAACAAGGAAAGAGCACCACAAGGAAAGAGCACCACAAGGAAAGAGCACCACAAGGAAAGAGCACAACAAGGAAAGAGCACCACAAGGAAAGAGCACAACAAGGAAAGAGCACAACAAGGAAAGAGCACCACAAGGAAAGAGCACAACAAGGAAAGAGCACAACAAGGAAAGAGCACAACAAGGAAAGAGCACAACAAGGAAAGAGCACAACAAGGAAAGAGCACAACAAGGAAAGAGCACAACAAGGAAAGAGCACACAAGGAAAGAGCACAACAAGGAAAGAGCACAACAAGGAAAGAAGAGCACAACAAGGAAAGAGCACAACAAGGAAAGAGCACAACAAGGAAAGAGCACAACAAGGAAAGAGCACAACAAGGAAAGAGCACAACAAGGAAAGAGCACAACAAGGAAAGAGCACAACAAGGAAAGAGCACAACAAGGAAAGAGCACCACAAGGAAAGAGCACAACAAGGAAAGAGCACAACAAGGAAAGAGCACAACAAGGAAAGAGCACAACAAGGAAAGAGCACCACAAGGAAAGAGCACCACAAGGAAAGAGCACCACAAGGAAAGAGCACCACAAGGAAAGAGCACCACAAGGAAAGAGCACCACAAGGAAAGAGCACCACAAGGAAAGAGCACCACAAGGAAAGAGCACCACAAGGAAAGAGCACCACAAGGAAAGAGCACCACAAGGAAAGAGCACCACAAGGAAAGAGCACCACAAGGAAAGAGCACCACAAGGAAAGAGCACCACAAGGAAAGAGCACCACTGGGGGAAGATGACCACAAGGAAAGAGCACCACAAGGAAAGAGCACAACAAGGAAAGAGCACCACAAGGAAAGAGCACCACAAGGAAAGAGCACCACAAGGAAAGAGCACAACAAGGAAAGAGCACCACAAGGAAAGAGCACCACAAGGAAAGAGCACCACAAGGAAAGAGCACCACTGGGGGAAGATGACCACAAGGAAAGAGCACCACAAGGAAAGAGCACCACAAGGAAAGAGCACCACAAGGAAAGAGCACCACAAGGAAAGAGCACCACAAGGAAAGAGCACCACAAGGAAAGAGCACCACAAGGAAAGAGCACCACAAGGAAAGAGCACAACAAGGAAAGAGCACAACAAGGAAAGAGCACCACAAGGAAAGAGCACCACAAGGAAAGAGCACAACAAGGAAAGAGCACAACAAGGAAAGAGCACCACAAGGAAAGAGCACCACAAGGAAAGAGCACCACAAGGAAAGAGCACCACAAGGAAAGAGCACCACAAGGAAAGAGCACCACAAGGAAAGAGCACCACAAGGAAAGAGCACCACAAGGAAAGAGCACCACAAGGAAAGAGCACAACAAGGAAAGAGCACCACAAGGAAAGAGCAACCACAAAGGAAAGAGCACCACAAGGAAAGAGCACAACAAGGAAAGAGCACCACAAGGAAAGAGCACCACAAGGAAAGAGCACCACAAGGAAAGAGCACCACAAGGAAAGAGCACCACAAGGAAAAGAGCACCACAAGGAAAGAGCACCACAAGGAAAAGAGCACCACAAGGAAAGAGCACCACAAGGAAAGAGCACCACAAGGAAAGAGCACCACAAGGAAAGAGCACCACAAGGAAAGAGCACCACAAGGAAAGAGCACCACAAGGAAAGAGCACCACAAGGAAAGAGCACCACAAGGAAAGAGCACCACAAGGAAAGAGCACCAACAAGGAAAGAGCACCACAAGGAAAGAGCACCACAAGGAAAGAGCACCACAAGGAAAGAGCACCACAAGGAAAGAGCACCACAAGGAAAGAGCACCACAAGGAAAGAGCACCACAAGGAAAGAGCACCACAAGGAAAGAGCACCACAAGGAAAGAGCACCACAAGGAAAGAGCACCACAAGGAAAGAGCACCACAAGGAAAGAGAGCACCACAAGGAAAGAGCACCACAAGGAAAGAGCACCACAAGGAAAGAGCACAACAAGGAAAGAGCACAACAAGGAAAGAGCACCACAAGGAAAGAGCACCACAAGGAAAGAGCACCACAAGGAAAGAGCACAACAAGGAAAGAGCACCACAAGGAAAGAGCACCACAAGGAAAGAGCACCACAAGGAAAGAGCACCACAAGGAAAGAGCACCACAAGGAAAGAGCACCACAAGGAAAGAGCACCACAAGGAAAGAGCACCACAAGGAAAGAGCACCACAAGGAAAGAGCACCACAAGGAAAGAGCACCACAAGGAAAGAGCACCACAAGGAAAGAGCACCACAAGGAAAGAGCACAACAAGGAAAGAGCACAACAAGGAAAGAGCACCACAAGGAAAGAGCACCACAAGGAAAGAGCACAACAAGGAAAGAGCACAACAAGGAAAGAGCACAACAAGGAAAGAGCACCACAAGGAAAGAGCACCACAAGGAAAGAGCACCACAAGGAAAGAGCACCACAAGGAAAGAGCACCACAAGGAAAGAGCACCACAAGGAAAGAGCACCACAAGGAAAGAGCACCACAAGGAAAGAGCACCACTGGGGGAAGATGCTGAGCAGCGGCAAGTGGCATGTCCGGGCATGCTCCCCACCTGGGCGGCGGACCAATCAGAGGTGGCGGATCCCTGGTGGCCGCCGTTGTTGCGCTGCTCGTAGATCTGCGTGGCCAGCGCCGTCATCTCCTCCTGCCGCCCCTCCAGCAGGCGCCGCTTGGCGTCCGCCAGGCAGTCCAGGTACGGGTGCGCGATGGGGCGCGCGTTCTTGACGAGCGTGACGGCCTCGTCGCGGCGCAGCCCCTGCACGAAGTAGAGGTACGCCACGCACGTGAGCGACGCGCGGTTGATGCCGGCGGTACAGTGCACGTACACCGTGTGGCCGCGCTGCAGCAGCACGTTCACCACGCGCACCGCCTCGGGGAGCATCATCGCCTGGCACGCACACAAGGTGGGGCGGGGGCAGCGGGGGGGAAGGGGGTGGATGTGTGAGGCGAGGGAGTGGGTGGGGGTGTGAGGTGTGATGAGGTCCGAATTGGAGTGGGGGGTGGAGATTGGGTCGATGAAAAGGGGAGTGGAGAGGCAACGGGAAGGGGCATGGAAGCGCATTGGAGCGCATGGGGCGCATTGGAGCGCATGGAAGCGCATTGGAGCGCATGGGGCGCATGGGGCGCATGGGGCGCATGGGGCGCATGGGGCGCATGGGACGCATGGGGCGCATGGGACGCGTGGGCGCACCTGGTCGCCGTGGTCGAAGTCTCGGATGGGCACTCGCGCCAGAAACACCCCTCGCTCCACCGCGCGCGATCGAATGCTGTCAAACGGAATCTGCAGGGCGGGGAGGGGGGGGCGAGCACGCGGCACGGCACAGCGCGCAGAGGCGGTGAAAGAAGAGTGAGCGCGGGGAGCGCACAGGAGCACAGCGCGGCGGAGGGCTGTGCTTGCAGCAGCACAGGTGGGAGGGGTGCGTGGCACACGAGGGCGCACGTTGCGCTTTCTGTTTGCGCCCAGAGCCCAACGTAGGCACAGTAGCGTTTTCACCCACAGGTTTTGTCGGATTGTGTGATACGCGTGTGCGGGAAAATGACCCAAAATGTTTCCACGTGCGGCTTTACCGCGAAATGTACCGCAATTTCCCCACTCGCTCGTTGGTTGCGCGTGCACGGACCTGCAGCGCGTCGAAGCAGAGGTCGGACTGCAGGTTCACGATCGCCGTCGCCCCCGCCTCGTCCGCGATGCGGTCCTGCGCGGAGCAGAGGGGCGAGAAAGAAATAGAGGAGCACGAGGGGAGATGAACACGGGTGCCCCCGCTGGCTTGAGGTGAAGCTGAGCAGCAGGAGGCGGCAGATGCGCGAGCAGTTACAGCAGCAACGAGCGATCGGATGGTGATTGCGAGCATCGGGTGCGGCACTGACGACGTCGCCGGGCGAGCGCGGGCAGGAGCCGACGAGGAGGTTGGGCAAGATGTGGTTCCAGTTGAGCGTCCACCGCCACTCCTCGTCCGTGCTCGCCTCCTCTGCCGCCTCCTCCGCCTCCTCCTCCGCCTTCTGTGCCGCCTGCTCCGCCGCCTCGCTCTGAAGATAAATACCGCAGACGCACAACAGTGAGGACGAAGAACGTTATAGGCAGATTCAAGTGCGACAGACAACCGCCGTCAAATCTCCACGAAATCATGAAGAAAAGATTCCTGTAGTTTGTTACTATGGAGGGTGTTCGTTTGGAGCTGGAAGGACTTCACTGTGGATTGCGAAGAGCGCAATTGCGACGACGGTCAGACGCGGTCATACGCATTGCAACGCGGTCATACGCATTGCAACGCGACGACGGTCATACGCATTGCAACGCGCCGCTCACCCGTCGTTTCCGCCAGCCCTCCTTCTCCGCCTCTGTCATTTCAACAGACGCTCGCGCCGCGAGTCTCCGCCGGCTGTCGCGATCTCGACGGTGTAGGAGGGAGCAGTCGATCAGCCTGGCGCCGGAAAACGTACTTTGCTTGGATCGCGAAAGCTGCAGCGCGCTGCAGGTGGAGTATCTAAGCCCATTCGCTGATAGCGATAACTGACACGCCGAGGCCATGGCTGTAATGACCTGAACTGCGAGCCTCAACCGGTTGAAGGCAGTCGGAAAACCCTTCGTAACAAAGTTTCTTGTCGTATTCTTCTCGGTTCCACTAGTTCGAAAATGAAACTGAAAGCAAGCACTTCACTAGGCGGTGATCTGAGATGTTGGGGGAAACGTCAGTGGAACAATGGTAGGAGTGCGAAAATGCTAGTGAAGCTCTAGGCCATGGATCTGTGGATGAGTGCGAGAGAGGCAACGAAGGCTGGAGTGGAGGGGGGGTGGAAGCCAGCAGGCGTTGGCGGAAGGGGAGAGGTGAGGCAGAGCGAAGGTCGGTTCGCGATGGCCGTGCGAGCTGGCGACGAGTCGACGAACGAGTCCACGACGATCGTCAGAGCGGCAACCCGTCGCTGGAGAGATGCTGGCTGCCATTTGACATCCGCTGGACGTGGAAAGTGCAATGGACAGATGGCGCAGTTTGCGTCGCCATCAGCCGCGCGCTCCTGGATTGTGGGGTGGAAAATATCTGCCTGCTGAAACAAATCCGTTACGAGTTGATGCGACTGGACGGCTCCGTTTCGCTTCGTTATGATGACCGCTACGAGTCGCATTTAGGCTAGCCAGGTTCGGGACTCATAAACCTACACAAAGCTAGTTCTAGATGTAAACTAGAAATGCATTTCAATGCGAATCCGTGCAAACAAGCCTACAGAAATGATGCTAAGGCAATTCGCTACAATGGGTTAGACTAAACCTAGTGCGAGCGATTAGGCATGTCATTTGTCTTTCGGCTTGAGAATGTTGCGACACGCGTCGAGGCAATTTCTTGGAATCAGGCTGAGGCACTTCTTGTAGTCACTATTTTGGCTTGTGGGGAAAGCCTGAAAGCGACACCACGCAGAGGCACACGAACAAAACGAAGAAAAGCCAACAGGTCATCAAAGCAATACCAGGCAACCTGACCACGTACAAGAAATCACACAGAACGAAGCATAGCTTACACAAAACAAAGGGCTCACCTTATCACATGCCTCACTGACTGCCATTTGGCATGCTTCACTGCAGAGGTGCATGCGATCAGAGAAGGAAGCATCCTCCCTGCCAAAAAAGGGAATAGGCAGCAAGAAAGCCAAGGCGAGAATAAGAGTGTTAATATAACACATAATCGTGAAACTGCCGCTGACAGCACACAAACGAAGGACAAAAATGCGGCAAACAACGAGCAGCAAACAGGAATGTCAAAGAAGACAAGGATGGGATGCGAGCATGAGAGTGCTGTACGCACTTGCACCGCTTGGTGCGGAAAATCTCCTGGTTTCCCACCAGCTCACAACAGAACTCAATCACCTCCGCCTTCTTGTCCGCCTGAAGCAGAGAGGGCAGCACGCAGGCAGAGCGAGGGGAGCAGCGCACGGCATGCAGCGTAGATGCAGGCGTGCAGGGCAAGGGGGGCAGCAGACGGAAGGCGAACAGCGAGGAGGGCAAAGCGAGAGAAGGGGAGAGGCAGAGGGCGTGAAGGGAGACGAGAGAGCAAGGGCGGGGGGGGAGGGTGAGTGAGGGACGCACGCTAGGCATCGCTCCCAGAGCTCCATGCCGTTTTTCTTGTGCGAGTCAACCTCTATGCACCGCCGCACCTCACAGCCCTGCAGCACCGCAAGGCGTGGGCAGCACAGAGCCAGACATGGGGGGCGGACACAGGTGTTGCAGGAAGCAGGCAATGAAGGAGGAGAGAGGCGCATCGAGCATTTAGCAGAGCGGAGAGCATGATGACTTGGGACAGATTGAAAGATGCCAACCACATGGTTCCGCGTTAGAGAATTTCTGTCCAACATGGACCACGGCACACTGAAGCATGGCATAACATGGCACGGCGCAGCACAGCACAGCGCGCGCACCTCGGCAGCCTTCTCCATGGCTCTGAGCTGCTCCGTGGTGGGCAGCCCGTGCTTCCTGGCGTACGCCACTCGCGACGAGTACCCCAGAATGCCCCGCGCTGGCACCAGCGAGTTCGTTGTCTGCGGGGTGCAAGGGGTTGCAACACGTCAGGCGGACGGTTGGAGGGGTTGGGAAGTGACGCGTGGAGTTGAAAACATAGGGGGGTCACTGGCGGTGAGGGCGAGGGGCAGAAACAGCAGGGAGGGCGGGCACAAACTAACGCAGGAGCCAGGGGAGAGAGATGAGCGTTGGTTGGACAAGGCAGGAAAAAGAGCAAGGCTGCACGATGCTGAAAGCGAAACAGACCAGTCAGCAGTCTGCACGGACTTGAGGGTGGGCGGACCGGCTACCTGCATGACGTGATACCTGCCATTTACTGACGTCACCTGCCATTTACTGACATCATACCTGCCACTTTACTGACGTCATACCTGTTTTTTCCTGACGTCATACCTGCCATTTAATGACGGCCTCCTCAGTTGCCGTGCCGAAGTACCCCGACGGCTCCTCGTAGAGAAATCCCTGCCACGTCAGACACGGCGAGAGACACGTCGCGACACGCGTGAACGTGATTTCAGAGAGATGGTGGGACGCGGTGCATGAGTATGATCGCAGAGGCTGCGACGCTGCACATCAGCGAATACGCGAGTCCAATTCGCGGTCGAATGAAAGCTAACCACAACAGGCGCGAGCTGATGCCCCAGTCGCCGACCGCCCATGATGCCAGAGATGCCTCTCGCCGCGCAACCAGAGCGGCGATTACGAGGATTGCCGCGCAATACAGAGCGGAAGAGCAAGTGGCTTGGAGCGAATGAGGCTCGACTCTGTCATGCGCACCAACCGCGCTCGTTGGACAGCCATCGCCTCTTCCGCCCTAGTAAGTGCTAGTGGCCTATCGGCGCACCTCGGAGCGAAGGTACTCCTGCAGGCAGCTCACGTCGCCGCCGTAGCTACTGCGCTTCAGGTCGCGATGGAAGTAGCACGCGCGCCCGCCCGCCGCCTCCTCGCCCTCCCACCCCGACATTGACGCGACCCTCGCCTCGCCGTGAACGCCGGTCGTATCGCTACCCGCGTAAATCCCGCTCTTACAGGCTACTGAGACTGGCAACACGGCACGCTACACTTGCCGTACTCTAGCCATAACCGGAACCACGACTGTTGCTTGGGCCTGGGATTAGGAGCTGAGGATATGGCTTCGACTGCTGCAGGCTGGTCAGTTTTGTGAGGCGCGTGGGGCAAAACGGAAGATGCGACGAGGAAGGACTTGTCTCAATAAACGGCCGTCCAGTCAGCGGCGTTCCCGCCAAAAGATGAACCTCGAGATTACGAAAGCTTGTTTCTCGGGTGCACCTTTCAGAATGTGTCCCAAGCACGTTTGATTGCGGTAGAGTGAGATGCTCTTCGAGTCAGAAGGATCCAATACTAATCTAAAACGGTTAGGAGAGATTTAGGGCAAAACGGATGCTTGGGATTGCCCTCACCCCAGCTGCAATGTTCTCCTGAATTTGGTTTTCTCGTCTACACCGCTTTGGTGTACACATGAAAATGCCAACAAACTCCGCCAATATTGGGGGCGAAATAAACACAAGCAGCACAAGCCATTGCCACGCGTGCAAGGGGCAAGCAGCCACGCCGCCTGGAATGCGGTGGCAGAAAGGCTCGTGCCCCGTCAGCTCCTCGTTGCCGCCCAGCCATGGCCACCGCCCACAGCGCGCACCACTTTCTCTGCGCCATCGCCGCCGCGCGCTCTCTCAGTAGCCCGCAGCAAGTGTGCGACACGTCGTTGCGTCTGCGCGCGTCCGGCCATCTGCGCTCTCGCCGTCTCTGCCGCCGCTCGTCGCACCGCCAGCGAATGATGCCGCGCTCGTCGTCGGTGGATTTCACGGCGCGTGGCATCGAGGACGGCCATTCCACCAGAGTGCGTAAGCAGCGCGGATGATCTCACTCGCTCGCGCCATGCGCCGGTTGCTCTTCCGCGCCGTGCGGCGTCCCATTGCCGTCCGTGATGTGCGCTATCAATCGCCCGCACGCCACTGCCCATGCTCCCCGTGCCTACCGTCGCCGCCATTCTCCGCCATTCTCCGAGCGCCCTCGCCTTCCTCCCTTCTCCGCGCTCATGTCCATTCTTCAGTGTCCCACACGCCGCCGTGACATGCCGCCCCATACGCCGCCGTGACATGTCGGCCCACACGCCGCCGTGACATGCCGCCCCATACGCTGCCGTGACATGTCGGCCCACACGCCGCCGTGACATGTCGCCCCATACGCCACCGTGACATGTCGCCCCATACGCCGGCGTGACATGTCGCCCCATACGCCGGCGTGACATGTCGCCCCATACGCCACCGTGACATGTCGCCCCATACGCCGCCGTGACATGTCGCCCCATACGCCGCCGTGTTATTCCCATCCCTCTCGATGCGCGTTTCAGGGCGCGAAGGACGCATTTCCTGCCATGTCATTCCCATCGGAGCTGACGTCACCTCTGCTGGCCGCCAATGGGGAGAGCAGCCCGCCGCCTGCAGCAGCTGAGACCCGCCCCTTCGCCACCGCTTCCACCACCGCTTCCACCTGGACTGCTGCCGCCCTGCCGTGAGTGCCGCCCGGCCGTGAGTGCCGTCCGGCCGTGAGTGCCGCCCTGCCGTGAGTGGTGCGCTGCAAGTGCCGTGGACTTAAGGTCTCAGTGCTGCTGTGACTGCCCCTCTCCACTACCCTCTCAACCCATCGTGGTAACACGCTTAATCCTTGCTTCTCTGGGCTTCTCGTCTCCTCTTGACCCCACTGCATGTCACCCCTGCTCTCCCTGCCACCCCTCCACCCCCTTGCCGCCTTTCTCCATGCCCCCTGGCCCCCTGCCGCCAGCTTTCTTTTTCCAGCACTGGGCGGGCTGCTGTTCGGCTACGACATCGGAGCCACGTCCAGCGCGCTTCTCTCCCTCAAGGTGCGGCGTCGCCCTGAAACGCCCTCATCATTGAATGCTGCTCGTGTGCGGCCTGCAGCAGCACAGGGCGGCCTGGGGAAGGCCTGAGAGCAGCATGCATGTGCTGTGCGCGTGCAGGCTGTGCGCGTGCAGGCTGTGGATTGCACATCCGCCTGTCCCTTGTGTGCCCTCCTCAACCGCTCTCTCCTCGGCCGTTGCCCCCCCGCCCATCCCATTCCTGCTGTCTCGCTGCCCCCTTGCGCTGGCAGGACCCGGTGCTGTCGGGCACGGACTGGTTCGACCTCTCCTCCACGGCTGTCGGCCTCGTGGTGCGTGCCCCACTCCTGGCTCACTCGCTGCTTGCCGTGCCGTGCTTGTGCCTCGCAACTCAATTTGCCTGGGCCATGGCAGTGGCCATAGCAGTGCCCATAGCAGTGGCCATAGCAGTGGCCATAGCAGTGGCCATAGCAGTGGCCATAACAGTGGCCATAGCAGTGGCCATAGCAGTGGCCATAGCAGTGGCCATAGCGGTGGCCATAGCAGTGGCCATAGCATTGGCCATAGCAGTGGCCATAGCAGTGGCCATAGCAGTGGCCATAGCGGTGGCCATAGCAGTGGCCATAGCAGTGGCCATAGCAGTGGCCATAGCGGTGGCCATAGCAGTGGCCATAGCAGTGGCCATAGCAGTGGCCATAGCGGTGGCCATAGCGGTGGCCATAGCAGTGGCCATAGCAGTGGCCATAGCAGTGGCCATGGCAGTGGCCATAGCAGTGGCCATAGCAGTGGCCATAGCAGTGGCCATAGCAGTGGCCATAGCAGTGGCCATAGCGGTGGCCATAGCGGTGGCCATAGCAGTGGCCATAGCAGTGGCCATAGCAGTGGCCATAGCAGTGGCCATAGCAGTGGCCATAGCAGTGGCCATAGCAGTGGCCATAGCAGTGGCCATAGCAGTGGCCATAGCAGTGGCCATAGCGGTGGCCATAGCGGTGGCCATAGCTGTGGCCATAGCGGTGGCCATAGCGGTGGCCATAGCGGTGGCCATAGCGGTGGCCATAGCGGTGGCCATAGCGGTGGCCATAGCGGTGGCCATAGCGGTGGCCATAGCGGTGGCCATAGCGGTGGCCATAGCGGTGGCCATAGCGGTGGCCATAGCGGTGGCCATAGCGGTGGCCATAGCGGTGGCCATAGCGGTGGCCATAGCGGTGGCCATAGCGGTGGCCATAGCGGTGTGGCCATAGCGGTGTGGCCATAGCAGTGGCCATAGCGGTGGCCATAGCAGTGGCCATAGCGGTGGCCATAGCGGTGGCCATAGCAGTGGCCATAGCAGTGGCCATAGCAGTGGCCATAGCAGTGGCCATAGCAGTGGCCATAGCAGTGGCCATAGCAGTGGCCATAGCAGTGGCCATAGCAGTGGCCATAGCAGTGGCCATAGCAGTGGCCATAGCAGTGGCCATAGCAGTGGCCATAGCAGTGGCCATAGCAGTGGCCATAGCAGTGGCCATAGCGGTGGCCATAGCTGTGGCCATAGCGGTGGCCATAGCGGTGGCCATAGCGGTGGCCATAGCGGTGGCCATAGCGGTGGCCATAGCGGTGGCCATAGCGGTGGCCATAGCGGTGGCCATAGCGGTGGCCATAGCGGTGGCCATAGCGGTGGCCATAGCGGTGGCCATAGCGGTGGCCATAGCGGTGGCCATAGCGGTGGCCATAGCGGTGGCCATAGCGGTGGCCATAGCGGTGGCCATAGCGGTGGCCATAGCGGTGGCCATAGCGGTGTGGCCATAGCGGTGTGGCCATAGCGGTGTGGCCATAGCGGTGGCCATAGCGGTGGCCATAGCGGTGGCCATAGCGGTGTCCATAGCAGTGGCCATAGCAGTGGCCATAGCAGTGGCCATAGCAGTGGCCATAGCAGTGGCCATAGCGGTGGCCATAGCGGTGGCCATAGCGGTGGCCATAGCGGTGGCCATAGCGGTGGCCATAGCGGTGGCCATAGCGGTGGCCATAGCGGTGGCCATAGCGGTGGCCATAGCGGTGGCCATAGCGGTGGCCATAGCGGTGGCCATAGCGGTGGCCATAGCGGTGGCCATAGCGGTGGCCATAGCGGTGGCCATAGCGGTGGCCATAGCGGTGGCCATAGCGGTGGCCATAGCGGTGGCCATAGCGGTGGCCATAGCGGTGGCCATAGCGGTGGCCATAGCGGTGGCCATAGCGGTGGCCATAGCGGTGGCCATAGCGGTGGCCATAGCGGTGGCCATAGCGGTGGCCATAGCGGTGGCCATAGCGGTGGCCATAGCGGTGGCCATAGCGGTGGCCATAGCGGTGGCCATAGCGGTGGCCATAGCGGTGGCCATAGCGGTGGCCATAGCGGTGGCCATAGCGGTGGCCATAGCGGTGGCCATAGCGGTGGCCATAGCGGTGGCCATAGCGGTGGCCATAGCGGTGGCCATAGCGGTGGCCATAGCGGTGGCCATAGCAGTGGCCATAGCAGTGGCCATAGCAGTGGCCATAGCAGTGGCCATAGCAGTGGCCATAGCAGTGGCCATAGCAGTGGCCATAGCAGTGGCCATAGCAGTGGCCATAGCAGTGGCCATAGCAGTGGCCATAGCAGTGGCCATAGCAGTGGCCATAGCAGTGGCCATAGCAGTGGCCATAGCAGTGGCCATAGCGGTGGCCATAGCAGTGGCCATAGCAGTGGCCATAGCAGTGGCCATAGCGGTGGCCATAGCAGTGGCCATAGCAGTGGCCATAGCAGTGGCCATAGCGGTGGCCATAGCGGTGGCCATAGCAGTGGCCATAGCAGTGGCCATAGCAGTGGCCATGGCAGTGGCCATAGCAGTGGCCATAGCAGTGGCCATAGCAGTGGCCATAGCAGTGGCCATAGCAGTGGCCATAACAGTGGCCATAGCAGTGGCCATAGCAGTGGCCATAGCAGTGGCCATAGCGGTGGCCATAGCAGTGGCCATAGCATTGGCCATAGCAGTGGCCATAGCAGTGGCCATAGCAGTGGCCATAGCGGTGGCCATAGCAGTGGCCATAGCAGTGGCCATAGCAGTGGCCATAGCGGTGGCCATAGCAGTGGCCATAGCAGTGGCCATAGCAGTGGCCATAGCGGTGGCCATAGCGGTGGCCATAGCAGTGGCCATAGCAGTGGCCATAGCAGTGGCCATGGCAGTGGCCATAGCAGTGGCCATAGCAGTGGCCATAGCAGTGGCCATAGCAGTGGCCATAGCAGTGGCCATAGCGGTGGCCATAGCGGTGGCCATAGCAGTGGCCATAGCAGTGGCCATAGCAGTGGCCATAGCAGTGGCCATAGCAGTGGCCATAGCAGTGGCCATAGCAGTGGCCATAGCAGTGGCCATAGCAGTGGCCATAGCGGTGGCCATAGCGGTGGCCATAGCTGTGGCCATAGCGGTGGCCATAGCGGTGGCCATAGCGGTGGCCATAGCGGTGGCCATAGCGGTGGCCATAGCGGTGGCCATAGCGGTGGCCATAGCGGTGGCCATAGCGGTGGCCATAGCGGTGGCCATAGCGGTGTGGCCATAGCGGTGTGGCCATAGCAGTGGCCATAGCGGTGGCCATAGCAGTGGCCATAGCGGTGGCCATAGCGGTGGCCATAGCAGTGGCCATAGCAGTGGCCATAGCAGTGGCCATAGCAGTGGCCATAGCAGTGGCCATAGCAGTGGCCATAGCAGTGGCCATAGCAGTGGCCATAGCAGTGGCCATAGCAGTGGCCATAGCAGTGGCCATAGCAGTGGCCATAGCAGTGGCCATAGCAGTGGCCATAGCGGTGGCCATAGCGGTGTGGCCATAGCGGTGTGGCCATAGCGGTGGCCATAGCGGTGGCCATAGCAGTGGCCATAGCAGTGGCCATAGCAGTGGCCATAGCAGTGGCCATAGCGGTGGCCATAGCGGTGGCCATAGCAGTGGCCATAGCAGTGGCCATAGCAGTGGCCATAGCAGTGGCCATAGCAGTGGCCATAGCAGTGGCCATAGCAGTGGCCATAGCAGTGGCCATAGCAGTGGCCATAGCAGTGGCCATAGCAGTGGCCATAGCGGTGGCCATAGCGGTGGCCATAGCTGTGGCCATAGCGGTGGCCATAGCGGTGGCCATAGCGGTGGCCATAGCGGTGGCCATAGCGGTGGCCATAGCGGTGGCCATAGCGGTGGCCATAGCGGTGGCCATAGCGGTGGCCATAGCGGTGGCCATAGCCGTGGCCATAGCAGTGGCCATAGCAGTGGCCATAGCAGTGGCCATAGCAGTGGCCATAGCAGTGGCCATAGCAGTGGCCATAGCAGTGGCCATAGCAGTGGCCATAGCAGTGGCCATAGCAGTGGCCATAGCGGTGGCCATAGCGGTGGCCATAGCTGTGGCCATAGCGGTGGCCATAGCGGTGGCCATAGCGGTGGCCATAGCGGTGGCCATAGCGGTGGCCATAGCGGTGGCCATAGCGGTGGCCATAGCGGTGGCCATAGCGGTGGCCATAGCGGTGGCCATAGCGGTGGCCATAGCGGTGGCCATAGCAGTGGCCATAGCCGTGGCCATAGCAGTGGCCATAGCAGTGGCCATAGCAGTGGCCATAGCAGTGGCCAGAGCAGTGGCCATAGCAGTGGCCATAGCAGTGGCCATAGCAGTGGCCATAGCAGTGGCCATAGCAGTGGCCATAGCAGTGGCCATAGCAGTGGCCATAGCAGTGGCCATAGCAGTGGCCATAGCAGTGGCCATAGCGGTGGCCATAGCAGTGGCCATAGCAGTGGCCATAGCAGTGGCCATAGCGGTGGCCATAGCAGTGGCCATAGCAGTGGCCATAGCAGTGGCCATAGCGGTGGCCATAGCGGTGGCCATAGCAGTGGCCATAGCAGTGGCCATAGCAGTGGCCATGGCAGTGGCCATAGCAGTGGCCATAGCAGTGGCCATAGCAGTGGCCATAGCAGTGGCCATAGCAGTGGCCATAGCAGTGGCCATAGCGGTGGCCATAGCAGTGGCCATAGCAGTGGCCATAGCAGTGGCCATAGCAGTGGCCATAGCAGTGGCCATAGCAGTGGCCATAGCAGTGGCCATAGCAGTGGCCATAGCAGTGGCCATAGCAGTGGCCATAGCAGTGGCCATAGCAGTGGCCATAGCGGTGGCCATAGCGGTGGCCATAGCGGTGGCCATAGCGGTGGCCATAGCGGTGGCCATAGCGGTGGCCATAGCGGTGGCCATAGCGGTGGCCATAGCGGTGGCCATAGCGGTGGCCATAGCGGTGGCCATAGCGGTGGCCATAGCGGTGGCCATAGCGGTGGCCATAGCGGTGGCCATAGCGGTGGCCATAGCGGTGGCCATAGCGGTGGCCATAGCGGTGGCCATAGCGGTGGCCATAGCGGTGTGGCCATAGCGGTGTGGCCATAGCAGTGGCCATAGCGGTGGCCATAGCAGTGGCCATAGCGGTGGCCATAGCAGTGGCCATAGCAGTGGCCATAGCAGTGGCCATAGCAGTGGCCATAGCAGTGGCCATAGCAGTGGCCATAGCAGTGGCCATAGCGGTGGCCATAGCGGTGGCCATAGCAGTGGCCATAGCAGTGGCCATAGCAGTGGCCATAGCGGTGGCCATAGCAGTGGCCATAGCAGTGGCCATAGCAGTGGCCATAGCGGTGGCCATAGCGGTGGCCATAGCAGTGGCCATAGCAGTGGCCATAGCAGTGGCCATGGCAGTGGCCATAGCAGTGGCCATAGCAGTGGCCATAGCAGTGGCCATAGCAGTGGCCATAGCAGTGGCCATAGCAGTGGCCATAGCAGTGGCCATAGCGGTGGCCATAGCAGTGGCCATAGCAGTGGCCATAGCAGTGGCCATAGCAGTGGCCATAGCAGTGGCCATAGCAGTGGCCATAGCAGTGGCCATAGCAGTGGCCATAGCAGTGGCCATAGCAGTGGCCATAGCAGTGGCCATAGCGGTGGCCATAGCGGTGGCCATAGCTGTGGCCATAGCGGTGGCCATAGCGGTGGCCATAGCGGTGGCCATAGCGGTGGCCATAGTGGTGGCCATAGCGGTGGCCATAGCGGTGGCCATAGCGGTGGCCATAGCGGTGGCCATAGCGGTGGCCATAGCGGTGGCCATAGCGGTGGCCATAGCGGTGGCCATAGCGGTGGCCATAGCGGTGGCCATAGCGGTGGCCATAGCGGTGGCCATAGCGGTGGCCATAGCGGTGGCCATAGCGGTGGCCATAGCGGTGTGGCCATAGCGGTGTGGCCATAGCAGTGGCCATAGCGGTGGCCATAGCAGTGGCCATAGCAGTGGCCATAGCAGTGGCCATAGCAGTGGCCATAGCAGTGGCCATAGCAGTGGCCATAGCAGTGGCCATAGCAGTGGCCATAGCAGTGGCCATAGCAGTGGCCATAGCAGTGGCCATAGCAGTGGCCATAGCAGTGGCCATAGCGGTGGCCATAGCTGTGGCCATAGCGGTGGCCATAGCGGTGGCCATAGCGGTGGCCATAGCGGTGGCCATAGCGGTGGCCATAGCGGTGGCCATAGCGGTGGCCATAGCGGTGGCCATAGCGGTGGCCATAGCGGTGGCCATAGCGGTGGCCATAGCGGTGGCCATAGCGGTGGCCATAGCGGTGGCCATAGCGGTGGCCATAGCGGTGGCCATAGCGGTGGCCATAGCGGTGGCCATAGCGGTGGCCATAGCGGTGGCCATAGCGGTGGCCATAGCGGTGTGGCCATAGCGGTGTGGCCATAGCGGTGGCCATAGCGGTGGCCATAGCAGTGGCCATAGCGGTGGCCATAGCAGTGTCCATAGCAGTGGCCATAGCAGTGGCCATAGCAGTGGCCATAGCAGTGGCCATAGCAGTGGCCATAGCAGTGGCCATAGCAGTGCCTGTGCCTCATGTGCTTCTTGTTCTCGCTGCATCTCTTTGTTGCCCCCCTACCCTCCATGTCCCTCACCGCCCCTCCATGCCTGCCCAGGTGAGCGGCTCTCTGGGCGGTGCGCTCCTGGGCTGCCTGCTGGCGTTCCGCATCGCCGACCCTCTCGGTGACCCCTCCCACCGCTGGCCCCTCTCCTCACCTCCGTCCTTTACCTCACACACCCTTCCATGCCTCGCCTGCGTCACCTGCGCTTCCTGCCCTTCCTGCTGGCTTCTCAAGTCCCGTAGCCTCTCGCCCCCACTTCACCCCCCATCACTCCTTTGCCTCACCCCAACCCCTCTCCGCCCACCCTCAGGTCGCCGTCGCGAGTTGCTGCTGGCAGCGGCGCTCTACCTGTGCGGCGCGCTGCTCACTGCCTCCGCCGCCTCGCTGCCCGCGCTGCTCGCAGGCCGCCTCATGTACGGCGCTGCCATCGGCCTGGTCAGTGCCCCTGCCGCTTCCTCACGCCCGGGCTCCTTCTCCCCGGGCAGTTGCTCGTCTTTCTAGGCCCCCTTCCCTTATCCACCTTGCTCTCTCCGTGTGCGCACGTGCGCGTGCATGTGTGCATGTGTGCCCGCCAGGCCATGCACGGGGCGCCCATGTACATAGCGGAGACCAGCCCGCCTGCCATCCGAGGCACGCTCATCTCGCTCAAAGAGGCCTTCATTGTCGCCGGCATCCTGGTGCGTCCTAGCTGGCATCCTGGTGCGTCCCGCCTCGCATCCTAGTGTATCCCACCTGGCAATCTGGTGCGTCCAAGCTGGCATCCTGGTGCGTCCCGCCTCGCATCCTAGTGTGTCCCACCTGGCAGTCTGGTGCGTCCTAGCTGGCATCCTGGTGCGTCTCGCATGGCATTCTGGTGCTTCCTAGCTGACATTCTGGTGCGTCCCAGCTGGCGTTGTGATGCGCCCTAAGTGGCACTCTTGTTCCTCATCCGCCCCGCATCACAACTCACGGTTCACGGCTCTCACTTGGTTGCCGCTGCTCTCTGCTGTCTTCCCTTTGCCCTCCCCCCTCCATGTGTCCCTATGCGCCACTGCCGCCACCAGCTGGGCTACGTGAGTGGCAGTGTGCTCATAGACCAGGAGGGCGCGTGGCGCGCCATCTACGGGCTCGCAGCACCGCTGGCGCTCGTCATGGCGGGGGGCATGGCATGGCTGCCGCCCTCCCCGCGCTGGCTGCTGCTGCGCGCGCAGCAGGAGGGGCAGGAGGAGCAGAAGCGGGGGCCGGAGGGGCAGGTGGGGCAGGCGGGGCGTGGGGGCGAGGAGGCACGGAGGCGGGCGGTGCAGGCGTTGAGGCGGCTGA